GCTAAATCAAATATCGACCGAATTGTTGTGATTTCTAAGCCATAAAAATGTTCCAGAATATCATTCCTGAGAGGATGCTGACACAAAAACGGTCACATGAGTCTCTTGAATTTGTCTGCCGCAGTAGCCTGCCTTGTGCACTCGGTTTTATCGGCCGTTGACCGAGTGGTCTGCACGCCTGGCTTGCAATCATAAGGTCACCGGTTCGAATCCGCGTAGGGGCGGGCGTCCTCGCGGTATACTCAGTCCACGCGAGACTGGTGGTGGTTGCGCGGCAGCAAAGCGCCGCTAGGGCGTCCAGTTGAGGTTATTCACCCGACTACGGCAGGCTGCGCAAAACACGAATTGCTGTTGGGATCTGCTAGGTGCTGGTATACATCCTTCCATCGTTCTTTTCTACCGGTCGTACACTGGTTGCTCCTCGCCCCTAGTCACAAATACCGGTGTTTTTCGGGGGAGCTTTTCTGCCACCCACTATGCATTTTTACTCACAAGAACTCTTGATACTTTGACCGTCGCATAGGATAATAAGCGGCGTCCTATCTGCCGCATCGAGCGAGATGGATAGGGGGTTTGGATGCTACTGCTCAAGTCTTCCCGTCTTTTTATTTCCCCTCTTACGCTTTTTCATCCTTAGCATCCCGCTCCAACCACTTTTATCCCCCCTCCGATTCAACCCACCAATACCTGGCCCTCTCCTATCGTGCTTTCTTCTGGTTCCAATTCACATGCAAACGCAGAGCGTCACTACTGTCCTGCCGCCAAGCCCATGTCCAATCAAGCGGTCAAACCCAGTACATCGGCTTCTATTTGGAGCCGTCGATTCTCCCACAGATTGGCATGCCTCAACGCACAGACATTGTTACAGATCGGTCAATAGGCAATACTTGCCCAAACATTAGAGGACCTTTCGACTGATATCTGCTGTTTATCGGAAACCCGCTTGCAAGACTCGAGCTTTGGGTTCACCCTGCGATTTCCTTCAGATGACACCGGCAGTGCTTTCTCATTGCATCTATCCGAAGACGATGCAGCTTCGAGCGCCGGCCAAGCCGGTGTCGGGATTGCCCTGAGTCCCCGGGCTGAAGCTGCTCTGGTTGATTAGATCCCAATCAGTGGCCGGATGTGTGCGGTCCGACTGGCTGGCTCCTTCAAAGCTTCGAAGTCGCACGGGACTAATAGGTGAAGTTCGTCGTCGTTGCCTACGCCCCCACAAACTGCAGCAATGCCTCGGTAAAGGATGACTTCTATCACCAAATGAACGTGCTCGTTCGCCAAAGAAAGACGGACTGTGTAGTGCTGACTAGAGATCTGAACGTTCAAGTTGGAAAAGCGCCCACTGACGAGCTGCATCTAGTGTAGGCTCCCATAATGATAAGAGTAAGCGGTTACTCTATTTGTACGAAGAGGCTAGTTTATTCCTTGCCAGTACTAACTTCCGACACATCACTCGCCGGAAAGTGACATAGCGCCTGCCAGCTTTAGACCAACTACCGACATAAATCGATCACGTCAAAATTAGTTACCTCTGTAAATGCTACGCCCAAAACTGTCGCTCAATTTGGAGCACAGGTGTGGACACTGACCATGCACTTGTATGTGCTGATCTGCGGGTGCGTTTTGGCGGACGCCCAGGACGACCCGGTGAGCGCAGATACCAGCGAACTGGCGAAGCCAGATGTTTTGAATGCGTATCGCAGTACGCTGGCATCCGGGCTGAGTAAGCGCTCACTGAATACGGTTAAAGGTCACTGGTCGCATGTTCACTGGACATTACTAGCAGTAGCCAAATCCTCATGTGCCAAGTCTAAAAGCCAACATGGACATTAGGTCTCTTCGTAGTCTCTGGAAGTTATCGATGCTTGCCGGCACATTCCGACCGGAAGCGAACACGAGATTCGCAAAGACCTCAGAGCAAAACCGCGTGTTTGCCTGAAGAGAGACCGCGAATCCTGATGGTCCCATCGTGCGTCAGAGATGGAAGTGGCTTGCTAACCATTGTAAGTTATTCCGTCTAATACGGGAGAAGGGCAGCACCGTGAGATATACTGGTGGCCCACCGTTGTCGTGTTTCTCGACAGCAAAGGTGCCTTCTATTCGATGAACCGATGTATCATTTAGGACTGTCTACTCAACAAAGGTGTGCCCGAGAAATATGCATTATCCAAGCGCTTTACGCGAGTAGCTCGGGCAAAGTGAGTGCTTACGGCAAGCTGTCGCCGATCTTGAATATCTCGTGGTATCAGACAGTAAAGCCCGCTGCCAACTTTTCATCTTCAAATTCGCCATTGACAAAGTCAGAAAAATAGTGTTCAGAGGATACGACTTAGAAAATGTGTAGTTCCACACAGGTGAACGAGCTCTTAATTTGGAGTATGATTATGACATTGTCATCATACGTGACAGCTCACGAACGTGCCAAGAAGCGACAGACGGATTAGCACTTGCTGTCAGCCGTCTCGGGCTTTGCTATGCATTCTGTTCGCAATGTCGATTGGGTACATGTGTTCACTAGGGCACCTGTAGTTTCCACTATTCTTATCCTTTGTTAGCAGGGGAATTACAGCATTACAGCAGTGAGGAAACAGCGCAACACAATGATGGGGGTGGCACTGCTACCCATCCAAAGAGACAACGGAGTCTGCGGAGCTGTATTTCTAAGGTGCGGTTGCTAATGACCGGCCGGTGGCCGAATGGTTGGCACGTTTGCTTTCCAACCATAAGGTCACCGGTTCGACTCCGCGTAGGGGTGGGCGTCCTCGCGGTATACTCAGCCCGCGCGCGACTGGTGGTGGTCGCGCGGCAGCGAAGCGCCGTTACGGCGTATAAGCTGACGCATTTCATTTTTCATTTCATTTCATTTCAATGACCGGGGAATAACTTCGGACATGGCATTTGCAGCTGACCAGTAAGCGAAACTTCGGGTAATTTTTCTCATCCAGTTAATGCTAGGAATACTTCAATAAAAATACCTTAGAATTCTATGGATGGAATAAATGTAGACAAATGATGGAACGTTTGCTAGAAAGGGGTGGCATCCGTCTGCACAATTGGCTTTTGGAAGCTGAGTAACGCAGGTTAGACGCGAGGTCAAATATCGTGTAGCCATGTCAGGTTATTGCGAAGCCACCCGCAGTCCTCAAGATTTTCCAGTTAGACTCGATTCACTACGGATACCAAAGTGATGGCAGTCATAGCGACTCTGCCTGATGGTGCAGTTTAGTTCCCAGTAACCGAGAGCGAACTCGCTTTGTCAACATATCCGATAGAGAATGTCACAACAAAGTCGACAGCAAGTAGCAGGGTAGTCCAGGGTGGCAAATGTTTGCTACCTTCGCCGAGATGCCTAACAATAATCAGAATATTTCCAACAACGCTTTGTAGTGAATAAGGTGAGCGAACTTCCTTCCGCATAGCAATTCCTTTAGTACAGGGTTACTGTCAAAGCTTTGTTCTATCTGATCGTAGCTTGTTAGGTGGAAAATAAGCAGGCAGTGTTCGAATGGTAACGGCGAACTGTTGCGGTCGATGAACCCAATGTTGACTGATTCATTAAAACATTTCGGAAAATGAACACCATGATAAACGCAACATACCCTGAGTGGGAACACTTTACTGCCTTCGTCAATTAACTAACTGGTAAATATTAAGCCGAAGATGTGAGCAGTTGTTGGGACGAAATTTTGATCTATCTTGTTGAAGAGATCATCAGTGGTTGGGCCAACGACTGTGAGATAACCTACACACTCAGCAGCTTCGTGCACATTTTTTAAACCTATGATCTACTGAAATAGGCCTGGTGCTGACTTGATCCAAGGTACTGACACAATGTAGCCCTCGATGAACTTCGGGCTGCCAGTGTGACACCGAATGATTAGGTTGTGCAAGATAGTTAATTTCTATCCAGGCTAGTAGAAAAATAATCCAAAAATAAATGCTGATATTGATCTGTATGCAGTGCTGAACTCAAGTCAGTCAAGCAGTTATCCGGTACACGAAAATGAGAAGTTGGCTTTTGTTGACCACGATTGGCACCGCTCCATACAAGCAGCTCATTGCAATAATAGGTATGCTCTGTCCAATCGAGTCATTCTTTGGTTAACAATTGTTACTGTTTATAACGGCGTTGGGTGATTTGTGTGGAATACGGAGTATGTCCGTTTCATTGGTGCTAAGCAAGAGTGAGACTGTCACAATTGTTTTTGCAAATCCTTGAGAAAATATACCGATTACTGGAATGAGATGACCGAGCCCCACGAGTTTCTGTAAATGGATTAGTTGTATGGAAACCGGAGTAAGCTGCGTTGTTCGATAGGATGAGCTTGGCTAAGTTAACTCACCAATCCTAATTTTGTGAACACCAGCCGAACTTTCGATGAAACATCAAGACAGGAAGGCTACATCTTGAAGACAATCACAAAGCGTTGTAATGAAACAGCAGTCCTGAATAAGGGTCAAAGGACAAACCCAACAATGCTGTTGACTAGCGAAAACCTGGCCCCATTCAGGTAGATTGCGGCTATGCTTAAATCAAGCAAGCAGGTAATCTCAACTGAACATCTGGCGCTGCTGATGACATTATGGCGAAATAACAAACGGTTTTTCCCATGAATCTTGGTTCACAGGACCTTTGTCGTCAAAATCTGTTGTTTAGTTTGACAATAAGAAAAAAAGCAGGTACAGCTAATGTGGACTCGGTTAGCCGACTAACCAAGTGAGAAAACAACAGGTAAAACAATACTTCGAAAGGATGAACCGATGAATGTTTTGGAGATTATAAAAGTTTTTGCTGATTAAGGCAGCTCTTCAATATTGAGTTTTGAAAAACCCGACGTGTGTTAGCACTTGACACGATAATTTCAATTTTTAGACCCACTGAAGATGTATGGATAGGTCGAGCTACAACGGTTTTCAAAGGTAGAACCGCTCAACAAAGCTAGTGACAGACGTACAGAGCTAAGAAACGTCAGCAAGAACAGACAAGTTGAAGAAAGGCCTACCTGCTGGTACCAAAAGTTCGCCCTGGCGAACTGTTCGGCAAAAAGAGCATCGTCGCTGAACGGCACAATGTACAGATTCGCCACTGTAGGGAACATTATGCCGGGAGAAAGAAGGGCGCGATTAGAACGCCTGATATTTCCATCAGGAGGTATCTCACCGTCAGCCAGATGCATCGCCCCGCCATTGTCTTCCTCTGAAGTCTCCACATCCGATGAGTTGGAAATTTCATCCGAGACCTGATTGTTGTCAGAGAGCCCATCTTCATTGCAGTTTTTCTCAGCATTCTTAGGCCTGCTCAGTGAGCGTCTTGTATGGGCCGGTTGTCTCAAATGTGGTGAAAGGAACTTGCGTGCATGTACGTAAGTCTCTAACATACGTTCATTGTAAAGCATATAGCCCATCGGTTCGGATATGATAATATCTACCGGCTCCGGCAAGGTGATCTCCTCGATCTTACCACTGATAAAAAAGAGCATAAAATATTTACGTAGATGGCAGATAAGAAATCCTACCACGGTAATACGGAATTGTTAGTGCCATAAACGGACATATGCATAAAGGTAAGCGCACAGAGCATAATTAAATCTGGTGTTCTTATAAACAGCTGGGTTGATCAACACAATAGGAAATCTCTCAGCAACGCAACCGGAAAAAAGCAATGAACAGCTGGACTGTTCAGCTAGTTCACATGCATGATACACAATCTCAGAGAGGCGTTAGTGAAGAGATTACACATCCAGACAACACATGATCCTGTCTGATAAATTGATCGCATCGAGGTTACCGACGGGTTAAACAACTGTCTCAGTGGAAAGAGAAAATTCGCCAACCAAGAAACTAGTTTACGCTGAGGGCGCATTCACCACTGAAAGAATCAGCCTGGACAACAGTCCACTCATGTGGGTTTTCGACAACCAATACAATTGCGGAGTAATGGAGCCACTGAGTCTTAGACTGGCATAAGTAGCATCATCTATCACAATAAAAATCGGGACACCATATATCATTATAGATAAGATGCAAGTTGTATACAGCTTCGATATCCGGTATTTAGAAAATATTCGAATAGACCTACTGGCCTTGGAATCGTGGCGCATCGATTGGTGAGTGTCTTTCTTACTGGCCAAATGCAGTGTTGACATGCAAGTGCGAGCTTTCTCCACATGCACTTTAGCTTGATGACAAACCTTTCCCCTGTACTAAGACTATACGTGATCTAAACATCCGGTACCCAAGCACTGAACTTTGATGAGCAACTTGAATCCATAACGGTCAGATCACGAAGTGCAAAACCCAGCATAAAATTATTCTCGATGCATGAACCTAAGCTGCATTTGTTTAAGGCCTGAGCTAGAGTACTACTCGATTGTTTTTACAAGCGGCAGGAAGTGCGATCGCGTGTGCCTGGAAATCGTGTAGTGATCACTTACAAAAGTCCCCTTTGACTCATCGTCCAAACTGGAGCCACTGTGGCTAAGACGCTTGAAGCTAGGATTAACATTCCTATTTGACTTCGTCCATAAGCGTATATTCGCACCAAACATCACAACTAACTTCAAACAAGTAGGTATATACGCAATTAGGAATATCAGGAACACACTCCCGGAGTTCAAAACGAAAACAAATGTTCCAAGAAAATGCTACTCAAACAGATATACTGAGATCTGAAACAGTCTACTGAAATAAGAGCATGCGACTCGCAACCATTAAAAGAGCAGTTTTAAAGTGTCTGGCGGTGCAATATGTAAGAACATATGTTGCAATTAAATTGCAATAAAAAACTATTAGTTTTTTCAATTTCTTCTCACTCGCATACGCCGTGTAGAGTTAAAACAAAACGCCCGAGCCGGTTGACTAGTGCCAACCGTATCTGGTTAAAGCACAGCAAAGCAATCTTCCTTCTGTTTCTCTCGGCCTAGATGTACAGATGCTGAGCTGAAATAAAAGCCCTGTCTTTCACCACTCCTCCCCAACATATAGAAATATTGTAGCCTAAATTAGATGTTATAATCTATACGTTTGGATTTGGTTTCTAATGTTTCTCTTGTCACTACAGAATTGCTCTTCATCTACATCCAAGGAAAACTTCGTTCCGTCCCTACATGGGGTTCTCCATCAGAACAACACGAATAACTCTGTGTCCATATGGAACTTTGAACTGAACAACCATCAACGTTAAAAAGATTATTTTTATATCGGCCTAACATTTGAACTATGCCGCTGATACAATGCGAAACAACCGTAAAAATTTGATCGCACCGAAAAGGGCATGTCACGTGAACTCGAGAATAAACACTATTATTATTATTAGTCTGAATATGGAACTTATTAAAGCAAAGGATGACGCGGGTCTCGACCTGTGGAATTTTTCTTCTTGAGCCCATCAAATCCGCTCGCATCGACGAGTATTTCGCCCATTTTACGCGAGTAATCAAGCTTGTTCATGATTACCACTCCCGCATTTTGGATTCATTACAACTACGTCCTTATCACGTCACACAGCGCTTGAAGATGCCGGCTTGTTAGCGTACATTTTCATTTACTAATGTTTTGACCTCATGGGAGATATCAACTAACTTGTTCATAAAAACAAGATATGCTTACCAGAGATGTTAGGTTGAAGCGCCTTAAACTAAACATAAACGTTCTCAGATAGGGCTTCAATCAACCATCAGTTTAGTCTTCTAGGCGAGACTGCATAATCAAGTCCAAATGACTGGGCCTCTGGTTGCAGTGTAAAAGCTGTAAAATACATACATTCACCACGTATTTATTGGGATCAAGAACAACCAGCTCTATCTTCTGGCCATCCATCAGTGATTTTTCTAAACCAATGGTTAGTCAGCCGGTGGCCGAGTGGTTTGCGTGCCTAGCTTGCAAGCACAAGTTCACCAGTTTGAATCCGTGTATGGGGCGGACGTCCTCGCGGCAAACCAAACCCATGGGCGCCCGGTGGTGGTCGCGCGGCAGAGAAGCGCCGTTACGGCGTACAGCTGACACATTTTTAGTGGTTCGATTTCTTTGCGTGCGATCAAGTGTGGCTTTATAAAAGTTAGTGGACATAATCCGAAAACATAAGGACTGGCTCTCATCTGCAGAAGGCAGACGTGCATGGATTTTCAGCAAACCCACAAGTTTACTTTCAGCAGTCTCCAGATGAGTGGATACCATGCCTCTTAGCTTAGCAATGCCGTCGCATAAACCGCTGGCATTCTTCATAGGTGAGCACATATTGATTACTGACCATCGGGCCCAGATCGATGCTAGGCTCAAAATTTCGCTGCGTCGCTCTTGTCAGCGATTCCTTCGCTTTGCTGACAAAACCATGATCGGTCGAATGAAGCCAGCGCTGTGTCCTCATCACCGAGGTGGAAAACATCTCAGCTACTGTTCCGCAATATATGAAAGAAAAAATAAAAAAACGCAACAGATGCGGGCCAGCTAAGCTACCAGTAACGGATGGGCATCGCTCCAGAAAGCTACTAGTCGGCTACTATGCAACAAAAAAGTATGTGAAATTATATTATACTAAGAAGCGAGATCGTGGTTGGAGGGGGAGGCTAAAACGGATGTGGAGGGACAAATAAACTCCCAGCATAAACAGTTACTTCTTAACCTCAGACTACCGTGCCCATAAGGACTGAGTCGCTAACACCCATAGTTGAACCTCATCCACCGTTTGGTACTGTTTCACATCGGTCTTTGGTACTGAACTAACGATACGAAATGTATGCATCTACTAAGCGAATCTCCTTGCTGTAATTTTCAAATCGCAGAAAATAATTAATTGATTTCACATACTCAAGGTTGACTACAATCTTCGCGTCTCAAGGTAATTGTGGTGGCAATGTCATCCACAGAAACAATGCTAGAGGTATACTACAATATATCGTCAAGCAGCAACATGAACAACTTCCCAAAGTCTCGATGTACAAAATATTTGAATCATAATAGAATGATCATAGAACACCATGCGCATAGCAGTCGGCAATTCAAGGCTCCCGGCTCAGACAGACTTCTTTCGCAGCTGTTCAAGTAGGTCGATGAGGCAAAAATTAACCAACTTCTCTTTGTTTTCCAGAACTTGGCATGAAGAAAAAGTGCCTACCTCCTAGGGAGAAACAGTTATTGTCCCGGTTCTCAAGTAAGACACTCGCATTTCATGTGCCATTTCTCGATGGATAAGGCTTATTTCGGTTGCCATCAAGCTATTGGCATCCACTCAGCTTCGTAGACTATCCCCAATTTGTGAATAATACTGCCGTGAAGGACAAGCTGGATTTCGTCCCGGCAGTGGACGAGTGAATCGAATCTTCATGTTCCATCAACACCTTGAACGCCGCCAAATTCACCACAGGCCCACTATCGTAGCACTTTTAAACATACGGGCTGTATTCGACTCGGTTGCTTGTCCGTAGCCTTAATAATCACAAGGCTGCCTTGTAATCCAAGGGCGCGGATTTAGCCCTGCGTAGGGACCGGCCGACCCTCGCAGTGTCATTAGCCCACGTGCGACTGGTGTTGGTTGCGCGGTGGCAAAGCGTCAGTAATGCGCAGCGGAATACTCCTGATGCCTTTCGACTCAGTTGATCGACCTGCTTTATGGCCTTGTTTGCTTAAGAATGGTATGCAAGAGAAGTATATTGACACCAAGCTTTCCTCGCCATTCCCTGTCAATAGCGCTGTACGACGGGGCTGCTCTATGTCCCCGTTCCCTTTAAACTTTGTAGTCGAAGATGTTCTGTCCAGAGCTGTAGCAGATTCCCACAGTTTTGGCTTTGAGCTTCTACCGAGGTGGGAAACACCTTAGCTAGTGTGCAGCAATACATAGAAGAAAAAAGGAGAAAATATGCAACAGGTGCAAGTCAGCTGAGCTACCAGCAACGGATGGGCATCGTTCCGGTAAGCTACCAGCCGGCAACTATGCAGCAAAAAAAGATAGAGCATAGTTTGGGGTGGGTGTTGGCTGTTTTTGTGGTTTTGGTAGTGGGTGGGATGTTGTGGTGTGTTAGTCTGGTGGGCTGTGCGCGTGGATGGTGGATTGGATGGGGGGTTTGGGTTGGTGGGTGGGTGGTGGCACCAATGCTGCAAGAACGACGGGGCAATAAAGCACGATCTGTATTGCATGTCACGAGCCGTCTCACACGCGCTCATGCGCACACACATATAGTCACATTTCCACAACACAACGCACCAGAAATGCGATGCGGTCGATGGGCACCTTCGCCCGCCAATTGGCGACCATTTGGCAACTCAGCTTTGCCTGTTTTGCTTGGTAACTCCATCCTTTACGTCACTTTCCGACCAGCCTGGATCTGTTCGAAGGCTCTCGATTTGCTTGATCTCCCAGGCGTCACTCGGCTTGGAGTCACTCCTTGGGGCATAACAATCGGCGTCTTTGTCCGAATTCTTGGCCTCACCTCCAATTTCGTTTGAGATCTTCCGGGAGCAGACTTTCTTCCCCTCGTCGCTTGCG